AGAATTTAGAGGGTTAAAATGTTGTGGGGTTGTTAACCAATGTCATAAAACAGCATGTGTGTTACTGTTACATGGGAAACTATCTGTTCTGTAAGCCTTCACCTGAAGTACAATAAAATATTTAAAAAAAAATCAGCCACTGAAAACCCTCTGGAGCACAGTTCTATTCTGGCATACATGGGGTTGCCATGACTCGATTTCAACGGTAACTTATACCGGCACATTTACCATTAGCATTGTTTGACAATACCTTCTTTCTATGCTATTGTGACAGATTCATTTCCAAATCAAAGAACCTCATAGACCTCAGGTTGGCAAACAAGGTGACATCCACTGCTAATCCAAGATAAGGACTCACAAAGCCATGAGCTGTACAACCCGCCATGTGTGATGGACACTTGGATCTGTCTCTAGCTGCCTTTTGCTGTCCTCTGGCATCAACTGTGTGATCAGCTTTTCCTTCTTCAGACAGGATGTGAGAATAAGAGAACAAGAAAAAAGGAATAAAAGCGACTTCTAGAGCTAAGGGCGCAAGCTCTGCCCCCTTCCTTTAGGATTCTTGCCACAAGGCTGGCCTACAACAGAGTAAACAGTCACTGCATAGCAAAGCTGAGAGGTCAACACGGCTTCTACCCCAAAATGTCAGCCCCCCCACCCTTTGCCACCACCACCATTCCACTTTAACCCAAAGGAATTCTTTTAATTCGTTCTCTTTCACTTTCTTTCGGTATAAGAACTCATGATTTCCATAGCTTAACAAAGCCTTTAGAATCAAGCTAAGTTAATGATCCAGGGAAGCTTAACCCCATGTAGTCACCCCTTTAGCACTATCTCCCAAGATCACCTTCTCCCAGTGCACTCTGGGTAGCTCTTGGCCATCCTTCAGGTCTCAGCTCAGGTATCTCTTCCTCCAGGAAGCCTTCTCTGACCTACCTCCACCAGTTGTACACAGAGGCACACGTGCACACACGCACATACACACACACACCATGCCGCCTCTAGCGTAGTATATACTACACTGCATTGTGTTGGTGCTGTGCCAGTAAATCACTAGTCTTCTCCATGCTCCATGACAGAAGGAAATGTACATGGTCTTTCTATTCCAACACTGATCATGGTCCCCTGAGGAAGGGAAGAAGACGACAAGGCTGTGCTCAGACTCTCAGCCAACCTCCCAAACTTCCTGAGCTCACGCTTGGCTCAGGCCTGTGAGGTTCTCTGGGGCCAAAGCCGGGAGAAAAGGGTGAGGCCTGAGGAAAAGCAGGCTGGAGGGAATCACTGTTCTCTTGAGAAAATGGGGAAAATGTGAGCAGGCACTTCCAGGCTCCAGTGACAAAGGTCACAGCCATTGCTTAGGAATATTAACAGTGCCCAGCAGGGCAATGAGGATGACAAGGCTTCTAGTGCTTGCTCCACAGATGACCCCAGGCCTTTGTGTCATAGGATGGCCCAAGGGGTCTCAGGAACAGCTGCCCCTGGCCTGCGTGTACCGGGCTCACTGCAGGCAGGAAATTCCATGTTGTAATAGCTGGATTTCTTCCCTTCATTCCTGATTCATGACTAGGTAGTGACTTGGTCATTACAGAAACCATTTAGGCAGATTTCAGGAACATCTGACTGGGTTTTCATCTACCAGCACACACACAAAAAGGAAAATAAAACAGGACAAAGCGCTGGGCCACGCGGCCTCACTTTCGTTTCCATTGCTAGCCTGGCTTGTGAAAGGAAGTCAAAATATTTAAAAGCTCTTCTGTCAGCGAGGTGACTCGCATTGGATTGAGGTGGGTTCACACTTGCAAACACACGTTTAAAAGCTCTTTTGACTGGCCGCAGCCATGTTATCGAGCTGAACAATTGTTGATCCGAGTGGATTAGAAAAATAGTCCCCAGTGTCTGGGGAGGCAGTGCTTTTAAACAAGTGCTTTTCAAAGAATGAGCTATTCAGAAGTCAACGGCAACGGGGTTTTTTTTTTGTTTGTTTTTTTGTTTTTTTTTGCATACATGTAGCCCATGACTTGAAAACAGAAGTAAAATCAGCACCAAATCAGCAACTCTGAGCAGCAGACTAGAGAGTTCAGCTGGCATATATTAGAGATGTGGTTTTACAAAGTTGCTATTCCATTTAGTTCTCATTCCCTACACAGCTAATGGTAGGAGGGCTTAAAAACCAACTTTACATTGCATTTTCACACCTCTCTTTTTTTTTTTTTTTAACTCAACTAGGAAAAATCATATGGTCCTTCATATTTTATTTCCTTTTTCCTAAAAGATTAAATTTCTTTGGAAATTTAAATTTGTCCTGTCCATTCTCCAAGCAAATTGCGCTACTCCTGCGTTTGATCTGCTCAGTCTCAGTCTCTTTTAAGTTGAGACTTTATTTCATTTCCAGTCATGTACAAAGTGGTTCGTATCCTTGTATTTCTTCTCACTGAAAGACACATTGCGTGGCCAGGCGGGAAGCCTGCTAGGTAAATGAAGCTCTCTACTTTTGCTCTGTCTACATCCATTAGGTTTTTGAAAGCAAACCCATACACTTCCTTCTACAACTAAGGTTCAGAGTGGTAATAAATCCGTTGAGCTAAAGCACAGGAATATTTAATTAAAAAAAAATTTTAATAACTGTTAAGTTTTTTTCATTTAATTATTTACTTTACTACAAAGTATGCAGTTGTGTTAATATTCTTTGTTCTCAAGGTTTTATTATCATTTCAAAGGCGGGTAAAAGCAGAGATTTCTAACAGAGAAGTTGCTCACAATGTATCCTGAAAGGTGGCTCGTGCCAAACAAAAGAAGAAAGTATGACCGGAAAGGGGTCCAGCATCCTTTTCCTTCAGGCTACACCTGGTGAGGGCAGTGGTTAAAGAGCTCAGCTGCTAACCAAAACGTTGGCGGTTTAAACCCACCAGCCACTCTGTGGGAGAAAGATGTGGCAGTCTGCTTCCATAAGGATTTACAGCCTTGGAAACCCTACGGAACAGTTCTACTTTGCCCTTACAGGGTCGCTGTGAGTGGGAATCAACTCAATGGAAATGAGTTTTTTTTTTTTTTTTTTTTTTTTTTTGGTTAATAAGGAGCCCTGGTGGTGCAGTGGTTAAAGTGCTGGGCTGCTAACCAAAAGGTCTGCAATTCGAACCCACCAGCCCCTCCATGGGAGAAAAAGTGGCAGCCTGCTTCTGTAAAGATTACAGCCTTGTAAACCCTATGGGGCAGTTCTATTCTGTCCTATATAGTCGCTATGAGTCAGAATTGACTCAATGGCAATGGGGTTAGTAAGGATCAATGAGCAGCCTACAGATTCCCCAGTGGCTCCAATAATACTTATCTTGGTTGAGAAATCTGGACTTGGTTCAGCCCATCTGCTCTTACTGCAGCCTAAGTTTGCCTTTCATTTGGAAATCATGCTGTCAACTTGGTTTAGAATATACATGGGTGAAGCATATGCTTATCTGTGCTGCCCAGGGAGATGTTGGCATGGAGAAATGTGAAGGCTTCTGGTCAAAGCTTGCATTTTATGGACTCTCCTCTCCTCTTCTCTTCTCTGTAGTTACTGTGACAGTGGGAGGCAAGCAACACCTGCTCGGACTGTATGACACTGCAGGACAGGTACATTTTCATTTTCTTCATTCATTAAGGGTTTGAGGGAGGGGCAGTATGACCCATTTGGCTAGGCATATGGAGGCCTTTCTAAGAAAATAATGGATAATACAAATATTACTCATACTGATTATTTTGGGCCAATTTGTTGTCTACCTAAATGACAACCAAAAGCACATTCTTCATATTTTAAAAATATTTATAATTACAAATAACTAAATCATTACATTACTTAAGGTGTGGCTAGGTTTTGAAAAAAAGATCAACTCATTGATTGATGACCATCAATAACCAAAATAACATATCTGACCAAGAGTTTCAATTTCCTCCTACCCAAAACTATTCCAGATCTAAGGTTAATGAGTCAATTTAATAGATTTTTAGTTTCACTCATTTTTTTCACATTATTTTCTTTGACCCCTCTTTATTTGAGTTGCCTAATGAGCCTTGAAAAGGTCCAAAAAGAGATGGGGGTAGGGTATAGGGAGGGAGTAGGGAGAAGATAGATTAAGTGTTGAAAGGAAGAAAAGCCAGGATCCTGGATGTTTTCCAAAAGAAAAGGTCAACCTCTGAATAACTAGGGATCGACTCAATTCTCTAAGATTCTTGATGCATTCACACTTTGTCAGAAATGTTTCTTCAGGTTGGAGAACCTGGCCACCCAATAACATAAGGTAATGGACTGTTACCCATGATATTCAATCACATGCTCTACCTGGGTGAAAATGACATCTTTCTTTCCTAGCACCCCACACTCCACCAAGAAAAGTTTCTGATGTTGTAAGTTCATGGGTTGAAGAAGGGGAAATGGTTAAGCAATTGATGGCTGTAGCCCAATTTCTTGGATACAGCTTTTGTTACCATATGTCTTGGGTCATTTATTTAGGTCAAAATCAATGGGCTGTTCCATCTTCCCAAATTCATACATCTTAAGTCCTATGGAGGAAATGTGTGACCATGCTATTTCCCACTGTGAGTTTGCTGGTAATTGTTATTTGTAGCGATGCATTTATCTCGCCTTTTTTTCACAGGTATCTGGAGATATGCCTTTTTGCTCAACTTGAAAAGTTCTTTACTAGAAGAAAAATAAATGGAATTCTTTTTGGGGTTTCTGTATGTATTTGCAAAGACCACTGTATAAGTGTAAGGGGCCCTTGTGGTATAGTGGTTAAGACTTGGCTGCTAAATGAAAGGTCAGTAGTTTGAACCCACAAGCCATTCCATGGGAGAAAGATGTGGCAGTCTGCTTCCATAAAAATTTACAGCCTTGGAAACCCTATGGGGCAGTTCTACACTGTCTATAGGGTGACTATGAATTAGAATCAACTCGACAGCAATGGATTTGGTTGGGGTATAAAGGTATATGGAACATCAAAGCCTGATGGTGGGCAGTCTAGGGCAGTGGGGAACCTAGAAAGTCTAGCACCTGACTCCAAGCTCCTAAGAACATCCACTTCCCCCTCAATGGCAGACAGCTATTTTGGCAAGCTACTCTTGGGAACTTTGGAATAGATGCAATCCCTTATGTCAATAGCAAGACATGCAACTAGGAAAGATTGTCCCCCAGGTGCCCAAATAAAAGAATTAATTTGGTTCTTCTGAGCTAAGGTACAAGGCCCTCAGTGCAACCCACACGGGGCTGCCACTCCACCAGAAAGCCTTCCAACAATAGAAGTACACTGCTCTTTGGGCTGAAGATTGCCTACTCTAATTATTAATCACACAATCACGGCGGGTCCACTTTATTAGGTCTTCACAGCCTGAAAGAGAGAGAAGTTGATACCCTTCTCCCCCATAATCAGGTTTTCTGAATATAATCCAGTTTAAAAAATTCAATACCACAAGAATTTTGTCATTACTCTGCAACCTTTCTGTTTCCCTCGCCTTATATTAAAAAAAAAAAAAAAAAAAAAACCTCTCTATGACCCTGGTGGCTATCTACTTGTTCCCTCCTCTGTAGCAATCTACAACCATCGTTGGCTCTGTGCCTTGTTTGCCCCCAGAACAGCCTCCCCAGGCCTCTATTTAATTTCAAATCCAGTGAAACTGCTTAAAAGCTCTCATAGAGTTCAATTATTCTTTTCCATTGCCCTGTCCTTTTTTAAAAAAAAAAATTTATGATACTAGTATAGGAGTTAAAATTATAAGGTCTTGTAAAAAAAAATCTTTAAACTCTGTATCAAAGAAAGTAGAATGGTTCAAACCTCTGACACAAGAGAAAATGATGAACATTGATAAAATATAACAAATGGGTTATAGATATTTCTGCAACTTAACTTTTACTTTCCACCAACTACTTTGAAAGCTCATAGGTAGGCAAGGTTAGTAGGGGAGCATAAAGCTTGGGGAAAAGGAATAAGAACATGTCTTAAGATTCCTTCTAGCCCTAAAAGTTTATGATTAGGACCTAAAAAAGATGACCTCAAGAAACGCTGAAGGAAAGTAAACAAAAAGGATTTGAGATTAGGTCCAAGGGAAATCTTTCAGCAGTAAAGGATTGTTAAAATACTGGAATGCATAATACCCTAAATGATGACATGTAATCTCATTTCCTAGAACAGTGGTTCTCAGACTTGAGAATGCATCAGAATCACCTGAAGGGCTTATTGAAATCCTCCTGTTGGCCTCCACCTCCAGAGTTTCTGATTCCATAGGTCTAAGATGGATGTGAGAATTTGCATTTTTATCAGGTCCCCTGGTGGTGCTGCAGGTTTGGGAAGCATGCTTAGAGGACCACTGTTCTGGAATCTTCTCCGTAAAGTATGGCTCACTGAGCAGCAGCAGAAGCATCACCAGGGAGCTTGTCAGAGATGCAGAATCTCAAGCCCCATCCCAGACCTACTAAATCCGAAAATTCATTTAAACAAGATCCCCAGGTGATTCATATACACATTAAAAATTCGAGAAGCCCTACTCTAGAAGTCTTTGGTGGTTGAAGCATTGTTCCTAAAGTTAGGAAGATGCAGTAGTAACCATTGCCCCAGTTGGTTGCCATGGTTCTAGGACTTTGCCAATAAGGCTTTGTAACAAATTTAATTTAGAAGCGTTGTCCCAAAATTTCCATTCCCGTATCTAGATAGGATAATCCAACCCTCCTCAGTTATATCCTAGCAAATGTTGCTCAGGTCACATGGCTAAGGAACATCTATAGCAAAATCAAAAATACTCATTTTGGATAGAGTTACTCATGAGAAAGAGAGGTTATCTAAAATACAGTTGATTAATCCCTGAACCACAAAAAGGAAATAACAAATTTCGGCACCCAGCTACAGAGTTCAGTCTTGCTGGGAATAATTAAATTTTCTTACATAAATAAACCAAGGAGCAGCACCCCTCCTCTTTACGGTGAGCTAACTGTGGGGTCAGAATAAACGAAAACGACCTCAAGAAGCAAATGTGTTCTGACAGGTAAAGAGACAGAAACTCATTATCTCTACCCTCAAAGTCAGCCCTGGAGAAAATCATTAGACCAGGTTCCCCTCCATTTTCAGAGCACCTCGTCTGTCTCGAACGCAGCTGCAGCTCCCTCCAGCACTAGCCTGAGACACACTCCCACCTCTTCACAACCTGGCCAAGCAATTGCTAAAGAGAGTTTGTAACGAAGTCACATACATACACGGCCAACACATGGCAGCTGCTATTAAACATTAGCTCCCTCCCCAAACCCCTGCAACAAACTAATATTCGGACTTGGAGTGGAATCCTTTGAAGATAAAAAATCTCCAGAATTCTGGTTCATCTGTTAGGTAAAATTCTAAATATTGGATTAGTCATTGAAGTGAGGGATTTTTCTCAGGGTGTCTCTACTTGTTACCCCTCTGATCACACTGGGGAGACAGTAGCCAAATCTGTTGAGGCCATGCCAACTCATCCTGCCCAGTACATGACCCTAATCTCTGAAAGTGATTTCTAGAGTCCACGTCTTTGACTCAGCTGTAGAAGAGCCCTAGAGCAGCCTTTTCCATAATGTACTTGCAGCCCAGTTTGTTTTGAGAGTCTCAACAGAAATCGAGATGAGAGCAGGATGCTGGGGTCAGGATGGAGCAGCAAACCCAGGTATTCACTGACTGAGGAATGCCAAAATGGGAGAAGGGTCTTCCTCAGGTCATGGCTTGGAGCCAGCCACCTAGAGTGGAGCCAGCCACGGTACTAAGACTGCTTGCCTCTTTCTCTTAGCCAAGTGACATAGACAAGGCCCTGCTCAGATTGTGGCCTCTCGGGCCAAAGTCCAGGGTGGGTATATCTCCAAGGCAACATTTGTGGAAGTGGCAGTTAGCAGCATTGCCAGGGATGAATGAGCAACTCTTGGTGTCAGGAGCTAGGTGCAGCCTGCTGGTCAACCTCACCAGGAGCTGGATTTCTTAGAAAGGTAAACCCTGGTGTTCTCTACAGACAAGTACCACAGAATAGGGGGCTGTCTGCATGTGGGCAAGCACAGGATGGTGTCTGTCACTAAGAAACCACCGCCCACAGCAGCTCAGGTGTCACCAGAGACCGTAGGAAAGTGGGTGCAGGAAGAATATCAGCTGTAGTTGTCACTCAGCCAGGGCTGTGCTCAACACATCCTTACCCGCCTTGATTTCTGAAGCCCCTTTTCCTTCAAGGGCCAAAGAGGTGTGTGACCAGGCAGGGAGGTGAGTACAGCTGGGGTTCATTACCAGCAACTCAGTGTCAACTTGGAAGGAGCCAAGCCTTCCCCTTTGCTATTGGCTGAACTGACAGAGCCATCTGGAGCACGAGATCTGGCATCAACCTTCGGAAAGTTTGCCTAAAACCTCAGAACACATGTTTTTCCTCAATTAAAGACAAACTTTCTTGTTCACATGCATCTTAATATGGTTTTGGAAGTGTGCAATTTGGAGGATTAGCGAAAAGCTTGCATACATGAGAGGTTATCGGTGAAAGTAACCTTGTTAAAACACCATCTCACTTCCCCCCAAACTGTGAAATATGGAGCTGTAGGGACACTGATTTAGAGAGTCAATCAGAGTTTACTGCTCTGTTTAGAA